GTAAGTCTTCACAAGGTTTTCATACACTGTTGCTGGTATTTTGGCCCATTCCTCCATGCAGATCTCCTCTAGAGCAGTGATGTTCTGGGGCTGTCGCTGGGCAACACGGACTTTCAACTCCCTCCAAAGATTTTCTATGGGGTTGAGATCTGGAGACTGGCTAGGCCACTCCAGGACCTTGAAATGCTTCTTATGAGGCCACTCCTTCGTTACCCGGGCGGTGTGTTTGGGATCATTGTCATGCTGAAAGACCCAGCCATGTTTCATCTTCAATGCCCTTGATGATGGAAGGAGGTTTTCACTCAAAATTTGACGATACATGGCCCCATTCATTCTTTCCTTCACACGGATCAGTCGTCCTGGTCCCTTAGCAGAAAAACAGCCCCAAAGCATGATGTTTCCACCCCCATGCTTCACTGTAGGTATGGTGTTCTTTGGATGCAACTCAGCATTCTCTCTCCTCCAAACACGACGACTTGAGTTTTTACCAAAAAGTTATATTTTGGTTTCATCTGACCATATGATATTCTCCCAGTCATCGTCTGGATCATCCAAATGCTCTCTAGCAAACTTGAGACGGGCCTTGACATGTACTGGCTTAAGCAGGGGGACACGTCTGGCACTGCAGGATTTGAGTCCCTGGCGGCGTAGTGTGTTACTGATGGTAGCCTTTGTTACTTTGGTCCCAGCTCTCTGCAGGTCATTCACTAGGTCCCCCCGTGTGGTTCTGGGATTTTTACTCACCGTTCTTGTGATCATTTTGACCCCACGGGGTGAGATCTTGCGTGGAGCCCCAGATCGAGGAAGATTATCAGTGGTCTTGTATGTTTTCCATTTTCTAATAATTGATCCCACAGTTGATTTCTTCACACCAAGCTGTTTACCTATTGCAGATTCAGACTTCCCAGCCTGGTGCAGGTCTATAATTTCGTTTCGGGTGTCCTTTGACAGCTCTCTAGTTTTGGCCATGGTGGAGTTTGGAGTGTGACTGTTTGAGGTTGTGGACAGGTGTCTTTTATACTGATAACGGGTTCAAACAGGTGCCATTAATGAAGGTAACGAGTGGAGGACAGAGGAGCCTCTTACAGAAGAAGTTACAGGTCTGTGACAGCCAGAAATCTTGCTTGTTTGTAACTGACCAAATACTTATTTTCCACCATATTTTGCAAATAAATTCTTTAAAAATCAGACAGTGTGATTTTCTGGATTTTTTTTTTCTCATTTTGTCTCTAATAGTTGAGGTATATCTATGATGAAAATTACCGGCCTCTCTCATCTTTTTGAGTGGGAGAACTTGCACTATTGGTGGCTGACTAAATACTTTTTTGCCCCACTGTATATTTAAAAAACACACTTTTTTCACAGTATGTTTTTACAAGTTTAAAATTGCCAAAAACAAATTACCAGAGTAAATAACATATTTTTTCTATTTTCATAGCTTTAAAATAAGTTTTTTTTTAAAGTTTAAAATGTTGTAGCTTTAAAAGTTAATGAAAAGCATTTTAGCTGAATTAAAGGTCGCTAAGTACTCCATTAGAGAGGACAACTTTGTTGTTGCTCCTGCAGCACTGGAGACAAAATATAAATATATTCTGGCCTCTCCGTCGACGCGAGAACAATTGTGCAATTGGTCAGGATTTAGATGAGCTTAGCTGAGAATGAAGATGTGGAGATGATTTTTCTTTCTTTTTTTTTCCTCTATTGCAGATGTGTACAATCAACTGTTTTGTATTGCATAGTTTTCAAGATAAGTTAGCTGGAGCAGTAAGAAATATGAAAGTTTGTATGATATATCTCTTTAACTCTTGCAATAAGAAATTATCTTTCTAGTGCAGCATTTGACACAAACTTTTAACACTCCTAAGAACTAATTTATCTGCACATCTCAGACACCCTGTTTACTTGCCTAACATGATAGAACAGAAAAGAAAAGAAAAACAGGCAGTATATCAGGAACAGACTTGTTAACCTCCAAAAGTCTGGTCCATTCTTGGATTAAATTTCCAGAAGCCTGAAGGTACCACATTTTCTGTTCATTCATATGCAAATATAAACAGCCACTATACTTTTTAGGAAGAAAATGGGTTGGCCATCCATGTTTTGGTTTAAACCAGTGGAACAAGATCAAAAATCATTGTGAAGATACTGATGGAAGCTGGTGAGAGAATCATTATTTCCCAACACACTTTTAAAGGCTCCTCAGCGAAGAGGTCATTTCTCCAAAAGCAATATTAAAAGCTTTATTTTTCATATCTGCTAAATCCCTGTTTCACTTTTGACACATGCCATGTGTACATATGAAGCTACTGTCTTGATATCGGACAAAATTAAACTGTAAATGTTTGACCATGATGTGCATAACTGATGTAAAAATGATGATATTGAAGGAACAGCAGAACACATTTTCCAAAAAAAAAAAATAAAATAAAATAAAGCTTGGAAACAATTATAATTTCTTAATATACCTAACTGTCTACAAGGATACTGCCAATTAGTGACATGTTGCTCACAGGACCATAACAATCAGTGTTGTTTAAGGGATCATCGCAAAGCCATAGACATTTTAGTAGAGCTAAAATATGTTTGTTTTTTGTTAGAAAAGAGGCCTAAACATCTTGTTTTTCCATATATTAAACATCCATCCATCTTCTATTGCTCTTCTGTCACAGAAGTTCATTGCCTATCTCCTGTAGTCTATGGGAAAAGTTAGGGTACACCCTGAAGTGACCTAAAACAGGAAAAAATCTAAATTGATGTGAGATGTAAAAAAGAAAATAAAATGTATGTATTTTCTATATATTCTAACAGGACTTCAACTGTAGATGTTTTTTTTTTATTCCTACATATTAATTTCTAATTACAATTTCAACACTGCAAAAAAATCTAAATCTAGATAAGTAATTTTTTTCTTAAAATAAGTACATTTGTTCTTGAATTGAGGAGGTAAAAGAGACATTTTGCCAATGGAACAAGACAATTTACACTTAAAATAAGAAAACACAATTGCATTGTCTTATTTCAAGTGCATTTTATCTAATGATCTTATTTCAAGAGTAAAATTACTCATTCCATTGGCAAACTATCTCATTTACCTACTCAAATTAAGGGTGAATATACTTAATTTAAGACATTTTTACTTATTTCTAGATCGTTTTTGCAGTGAAATAATCACAGGAATTTTCTGCAGTTCTTTTCTTTGCATCAGTTTCCTGCACATTTTTTGTCAATTTGTTCATACTATCTCTGCTTGTTGTTCATCGTTATTGTGATTTTGCTCAAATTTCATAGAGGTGAAGACATTTCTACACAAGCAGAGAAAAAGGAAAGGAATTTTTCTTCCATGCACACCACAATCAGGACATTGTACTGCAGCGTATTATCAACAAATGGTGTGTACAACATAGATTGCAGCCAGCTTGATTTTAGTGGGTTCAATTTTTAATGATTTATGCTTCTCTAATTTGTCTGTCAGTTATGAGAGTTTGTGTAGATCTATGTGTGTGTGTGTGTGTGCAAATAATAGCTTAGAAGCTTACAGGAACAGTCTAGAGTGGCAACTAAACACCAAAGAGAAATTGTCTTGTACGAACATGCAAAAGCAATAAATGAAGAATGTGGAGTTCTCACTCTGAAAGGGTTCAAGAATAAGCATGTGTATGTTTTATAATTTAGTTCACCAATAAAATCAAAGCAACATAAGTTTTTTTTTTTATATCAAGTATTTTTTTTTTCTTCAAAAGCATGATTTGTTTTCAGGATGCAGATATTAGTTGACTTCATTCCAAATATATGTTAGTAAATTAAACTGTGGTTGAATATCCCCCAATATATTGAACTGATCCTGCATAGTTTAACATCAGTATCTTAATCTCTGATGTGTGATTATTTATAAAACATATTTTAATTAATAATATAGTAAATGCTGAATGTGATTTGAGTAGATCTAACATCCGAAATATACTGCATTGCTGACATGATTTGACATGTTTTGGTATTACTTTCTACATATATTACAACAATAATAATTTTAAAAACAAAAACCTCCACGAATTACAGTAAATGTTAACAAATATGTTTTATAGCTAAACAAATCTTAAAATATAGTTTCTCAGAAATGTTGCTCTGTTTTTTTCAGTAACTATGCTCCTCTTTTGCTTGGATTTCTGCATCAATGCAGCCTGGAACAGGATCATACTAAGGTTTAGCTGGAATGAAAAGGAAGTCCCGATTGCGAAAAATTCCCTTTCATTTGAGGTTCTTTTGTCTACATGATTAACAGTCTAGTCTTTTTTCCCCTTTAGCACAGCTTAAAGCCTTTTAAAATAATCATTAGATAATATAATTTAAGGAGTGTACCAGTTTAACCCATGTTAATGTAATGGGAAATGTGCTTTTTTTCTTTTACATTGATTCCATGTATTGGTTTCCTTAAGAACCTTACAATGGCTGTATAAATATTCAACATATTCTCATTATCAGTTCGTATGAAATCGTACGAAAAGTTATGCACAGTATTTAGTATGTTTTTGATGTTTTTCCTCGAAAAAACACATCACTGCGCAGGCAGACAGACGAAAAAAGCAGATCCGCAGACTGACATAAAACTGGGAAAAACAGTGCAATAATTACTTCTTCATGTCTCTCACTACGTTGCTTGCTGTTTTGTATCTTAGGGTTAATTGTATGTTAAATTCTATGTTATTGAATGGTGTGTAAGATGCGAATGCGCAAGGATATCTTGTCTCAGGGCAAGATGTAAAAATACGACGGAAAAAAAGTCAAAAACGTACGAAATTACGGTGAATAACTTTTCGTACGATTTCATACGAGAATACACTGAAATATTTTTAATCAGTTTTTGGGTCAGTTTTGTTTTATTACTTTGTTTCCTAAATAAAAAATTTCAGATGTCACCTTAGGAAAAAATTAAACATCAAACTATCAAATCTGCAATGATGTATTTTGCTGTCAACACAACTGTAGCAATGAAAACGTTGCTCTTTTTTTACTAAAAGATTGTGTGGTGTTTCAGAAATACTGTGGTAATTTAATAATTTCTTAGAAGTATTTTTCATTGCATTTAGTACAAAAAAAAGACATCTCTACCCATTAGTGCTTTGTTTTACGATACTATAACATAAATAGACCATTTATTTTCAGTGTTCAGAACAGACAGTTCCAGTGTTACTGGAAAACTAACATCCTCCACCATATTCCAGTTGGCAGCAAAGGGTTTAACAGGGTTCTCCACTCAAACTTTGGTGCAACCCATGGCACCACATTTACAAAATGTTCTTCATTTCTCGGCCTCTAACACCGGCCCCAGACAATCTAGAGGGTGTGAGTCAAGATTCAATTAATTTAGCGGAAACACAACAACATCTAGAAACTTTGTTTTTATGAGGTCCTTAAACTTTAAAAGATCTTTTCCAGTCAATTCAAATCAGCTGTGGCAAGCTGCGGTTTTCTTTAATGTTCATGCTTCTCTGAGTTCCTCTCCTTGCAATGCTTTCAAATATGGACGCACATATTTCCTAGACTGCAAAGCACAGTTTCCTGTAAGAGCCTTTGTCCTTATGGGTAGTCCCAACATCAGTACATGAGCACAATCTCTATCTGACCGTAAAGTTCTGGGATATTACCTACTGATATTTAGCAATTACTTATTTAAAAGTAATTAGATAGATTCTGCTGTGCAAAACGATGCCAAGGAGAGCTGATAGAGGAAATTCCATTGTTTTAGTCGTACAGTCTCTCACGGCTTACAGAAGTGCGGTCACATCGCTCGGTTGGATCTTTAATCAACAATTTCCTTGGTATTTCACCTGCAGATGAAGACATTCCTTGCAGCCTTATTTGCAGGTAAAAACTTCCGTCCTCTCACTGCACGTGTTGCATTTCACGAAGCAGCACCATTGAAACTTACAGTTACACTGCCACACTTTGGTGTACTGGTGCGTGTTGTAGCCACGACCGCAGCACATGAGGTCACAGCCATCTGTGTGTGGCGATGTGCGGTTGCATAAGCGTCCCTGGGTGCCCACGCTCCCCGTGGCTGCGTCCTCCTCGCAGTAGTTTGGTGACCTCTCAATGTAAACAAGGTCTGTCTCCATAGGCTTGCGATAGCCCTGAGTCTGCTTTACTTTGAGGTGGGTGGGCTGGCGAAGCCGGCTAGCCCGAACAACCTCCACATGCACAGCTTCATTGTACTTTTCCTTGAGTACGTAGCCAATCTCTCTGAATTTTGGGAGCGTCGTCCAGCATGTTTTGGTGGTGCAGGACCCAGAGACGCCATGACACTTGCACTCCAGCTTCATCCTTTCTTCCAGGACCTGCAGATGAGAGGAAAGATCAAGCAGCTATAACTAGAGCAGAGAAACATGCCCTCAAGCTTCGACTTGTTTTGAGATTCTTTTATTAGATTCTATCTGGAACTTATTACAGACAATAAAGCACAAGAAGCAACCTAGATCATTTATGAGCAAACACAACGGAGGAATAAACAGACTAATTGGAGAGGCTAATAGAGAGTTAACTATTTAACATAGACATCCAATCAGCAAACAATTAAATCAATAAATCAACTAGTTAACTATACAAATAATTAATAAACTCACAAATAAAGAATTTATAAAATCAGTTAAAAAAATGTATCAATGCATCAATGACCCAACCAATGGATCCCCGCTTGTTGTTTAGTGACTATCATTCTTAAGTAGCTAAAGACTTAGCAATTTAGTTAAAACAAGCTGTTTACAGTTACCAACATAACATATATGACAACAATATTTCTAATATTGTTCTCAAGGGGAAAAATCTTGGCCTTAAATTACAGGAATGTTTACAGTGGGAACTGGAACTGAAATATAACGTTTCTCTACAAACCCCAAAGTGAAGGGCTTAATGCAAAAACTGAACAATAAAATGCATTTGATGTCCATGCCGATGTTCCCAGCAAGTGCTGATAGCACTGATCACTTGCAGCCACAGGCACTTTATCAGATGCTGTCAGTCTGGGTGACTGCTGATCTAGGGAACAACCCCAAACATTTCCTAATGCTCCTCTCTGCATGTATCAGCCTGTCCTGAAAGAAGATAAAATGTACATACTAGTAATGTCCTATCCTGTAATTTTCTCTATCTTCTCTAAACCACATCAAAGAGGAAAATGAGCCATCAGTCAACATGTAAAAAGTTAATCAAGATGATTGTTTCAGGAAAGGTGTTGCACATGCAAATCAAAACAGAATCAGTTCAACTAGGTTTAAACTGGAAGAGAAGCCTTATGTGATGCCTTGAATCATAAAATAAATTAGTAAACTATGCTATGTAACCAATTATCAAAGACGGGATGCTTTTTTTGTTTTGATTTCTTGTTAAAATCTAACAACCATACTGTATATTGCACCCCTTTTCACATCTTTTACCATCTACCCGTTTACCAAATATGTGGAAAAGTCCACTTGCTTCTGAGGATGTGGCAACTGTTGCAGTCTGTCACTTCAAACTTAAAGATAATCACAAAATATACTGCGCTTTCATTATCCAGACAACTTTTAAACAAATGGATCCTATTAACACTTCTATAATAGTCTGACATGAGGCCTATAACCTAATTAAGAACCTCAACTTGTCTGGACCAAGAATTTGATTTCTTGTATAATGTGTTGGTTGGTTGTGCAGCTTTTTCCTGGAACTCAGCCTTTCCAGAGGCACAAGTCATCCCTTCTATCCAACACTTATGAACATACACAAGTGACGTTCAGTATCTTTGTCAGTCTTGTCTGTGCACCAATGTGGTCACAGTTTCCCAGTTTAAAGACGTTTGATTGAAAAAACATGAGTTCCTTAGGCTACATAAAAGCCAGGGTCAGCTGTCAGATTTGCCGCGGATGTTGATTCAGAGTGAGGATTTCCAAAAATGCGCCGCGCAAAACCCACAAGGAATGCTTGGCATAGGGAGCCTGACAGATGCATGGAAACATTTACTTAAACTACGTTGATCAAAGCCTCCGATCTGTTACTGATTAGTTCGGCATGACCAGAGTCCCATCTCAAGATTGCTTGTCAAACACCCCCACCAACCCACCCAATGCTGCAAAATTTAAGGCTGTGTGGTGTTTAACTGGGTGTTCTTTTACATTTAGTTTGGTCACTAAATATAATCTTGTAATTATAGTCTTCTATTCTAATGACGGCCCATAATAGTGTTTGGAAAAAGAAAAAAAAAACTCATCCAGTCTTCACCACAGTTTCTTCCCTCATCAGAATCAGGATTTTTTTTTCTTTTTTTTTGTTATGGGCAATAAATGCATTAGTCAAGAAAGACAAATTTTCTGGCTTTTGATGCCTCAAGTGAGGCAGAAATTGCCTTTTATATCATTAATGGAATATGCTTTTTAAGTGCAATTCACTTTAAGCTGGTGTGGCACAAAAACATATCATTAGGAAACCATCTATACAATCCAAAATAACCAATTTTAATAAAACTGTCAGTAACTCAATGAATTAAGTTGATTGTGCTTAGAAAGACAACTTCATCAGTCTGTCGGTTTGAATAGACTTCTTTTTGTTTAGTGCTTTGGGAAGGCATGTGTTATGAATTGATGCTATACAAATAAACTGTAAAGTGAACATATTTGAATATTCATTAGTCAGAAATGTGAAATTGTCAGAGACATTTACATGTCATAGGTTATGGGAATGTGAGAGAATATGTTAATCTACAGTTAGGCCTTGACCAGTTTACTGTATCAACCACAGTCTTTTTTTTTTTTAAGTCATTAAACCAACCAGATTTTCCATCGCAATGCCCTTTGCAGTGGGATTCAAGGACATTTGCAATTTTTATTCCCAGCATAATGTAGATATTAACTATCACCATTGCTGTAACTGATAGTTTCAGAGTAAAACCTGAATGAGTAGCATGGTGTCAGGCTCCAATAAGAAACATCTTCCATTTACTAACAACAAAAGTTTAAAAAATGCCCAGAAATGTTGGAAATATTGTTTCCAGGCTCGGTTTCCGAGGCCCAGTGTGAACCTAGAAACAGCGCCAACGCGGACTGCCCATCGAGCCAGCTCTGACCCTGATCAGTCTGCTCTGCTAACACCACCATTGTCAGCTTGCTTTCACACCCTGAATAGATGCAGTCAAATGGGAGTGACATGTTTTGGTATTGTGCAGACAACTGCAATAATATCCACTTCCTGACTTTTCACACTACATAATTCAATGAACAGAACTGGAAAGCTGGAAAGGCAGCCCTCTATCTGTCAAATACAGAGCAGTTTATATATATATTTCCCTAAGATTGAATAAAAACAAAGCTATTCATCATTATTTCACTTAGTTTTTTTTTTCTTTTTACCTTAATGGCTCTTCATATAAACTGACCAAATAATAATTATCCTCAAAGGTGGAATGACAAGCTAAAATTTTCCCCATTCATCAAAAAGTGTTCATACCCTTTAAGTATTATTGCATTTTTAAGCTATATTAGGATATGAATAAGAATAATAATCCTTATTAGCATACATTACAAATAAAGATTACCTCAGGTTTGTTAAGGCTGGAGGAAAGAGGTAAGAATTGAAAGACACTCATAATTTATAGAGACTCTACAGTTACTAGGACAAAGTTCAAAATATTTTGGAGGAATTTAATGTAAGATAAGCCCAGGCAAAGCAATGCCTAATTATGTAAAGCCCCTTTTTAGGGATGCACGATAATGGGATATAACCGATATCGATACCGATGTTAAAGCTGGACAAAAATAAGTAGTCATTGAAAATTGCAGTTTTGTTATCCATTTCTGACACTTTGAAAAATAAGATACTCAAATATATTTTCATATGCTGATATCAAATAGATTTTTAAAAACGCGGTATCGATCTATTTTACTTTCAAAATCTCGTGAAATTTCATTGTTCTGTTACAAACTCTCATGATATTTTGCAAATTCTTGGGAGATTTTGTTAGTAAAATAGATCGATACCGCGTCAATATATCAACATATAAAAATATGGCAAAATTTCGTGAATTTTCGGGGGATTTCGTAGCATAACGATGACATATAGCAATATTTCATTAGTAAAAGAGATTGATATGGTGTTTTTAAATGGCAATATATCAGCATATGAAGATATTGTGATAGAAACTCAGAAGCTGATCAAATATCGGGTTAAATATCGGTGGGGTGGCCGATGTCCGATATTCAGTTTTAAGGCCGATACCGATAGGGGGCCAATTATATCGTGCATCCCTACCCCGTTTATTTGTATTTTGCTCATAGTAACTGGAGGAGATGCAAAGGTGGGGTAATTTTTTTGCAAGGATAACTATTAATGATGCCCTCAACAAGCTGGGCCTTCTTGAAAGAGAACAATAAAATGTTCCTTCCTGTTTTTGAGGAAGGAAACTACAACTTGAAGTCCTTTTCATGAAGTGTGTTGAATATGGTTTCTTTAGCAGGAACTATGAGGCACGTTAGAGTCGATAAGGTAAAAATAAAGCTTTTAAAGGCTGCTAAAAATGTATAATGTTTTAGTTTATATTCATACGGGAATGGCCCAGTCAACCTCCAAAGTCCAGTATTCAGAGTCTTTAGCAGTGATCCATGTACACAAAAGCTAAACAAAGAGGATTTTGGAGAAATTTCAACATCTTCTACTAACTATATTTTATTTCATTGGATGATTTTTTTTCTTTTATTGGATGATTTTTTTTTTCTTTTAAAACTTCCTATCCAATTTTGTTCAAAATTCTGTTGTTTTATTTCTGAGTGTGCTGGTAAATCCAAAAACAATACATAACATTTTTTTTTATGTTACACGACAACTAATGCAGATATCTCTGCACTAGCTGTACTCACTCATGCACTCCCTCATGATACAATCTGACCGAATTCACTTTCGAAATGTAAGCCTATCTCCTCCACAAACTATTTACCTTTCTGCCCGCCTCGTTGTTATGCAAATTCATCAGGCGACGGGGCGTCTTTTTAATCTCACGGGCATCCACAAAGCGCCGTGAGAACTCGATGCCATACTTGATGTCAGCCGAGCAGCCTCCCCACTTCCAGCCCTCCTCCTGATTGTAGTAGCCCTGCTTCTCCCGGTCACAGCCGCACTGGCTCAGGTTGCCCTGGCTGCAGGCGGCTGTGATTGCATGGGCCACCCCTGCTGCTGTGATGGCATAGGTGAAAGCTGCTTCCCGACTGCCTAAAGGAAAGAGAGTGGATTGATTAGGAATAATTTTAAAAGGAGCATTTTAAATATGGTGAGTACAAAGTCCTGATAAATCCCTTTAGACACAAAATCTATTATTTTAAGTATTTAGGATATTGTAAATAGAATTCTAAATCTACAACATCATTTTAATAAATCCACATTTTTCCGTTTCTGCCCTGAGCAACTTACTGCACCTTGGTACAAATGTGGTTATATGCCTGACCACAGAGTCCTTGAGCCCAGCCTGCAAGAGTGCTGCGTCAGAATTCCAGACTGGGGAGAGCTTTTTTAGGTGCTGTCCAAAGTGCTGAATTCTTCTGTAGGAGCAGCTGCCCACACTGTTCACAGCTGGGGTCTCCATGTCCCACGTATCAATCACGCACACCTCCATTACCAGAAAGAAATCACAGTGCCATGTCCAAGGGGAATGTGACAAGGTGTTCATAGAACTATAATAGCAGCTAAACCAACATGGGTGGTATTAATGCTCTTTTTAGGGTAGTGTGACAGTCAGACTAATAGTTTGGAGCTTTGGCCTTCAAACAATCCTTTTTTTAAATGTGCCTAGTCTTTACATTAGAAATTATTCTGCAGAAGTAACACATTTTATTCAAATATGTTTCAGGTCTGGATAAATATGGAAGCAATTAAACATTGTATGACAATATTTTTTAAAGCACTTTCCAATCTTAGTATTTTCTTAGTTTCAAAGCTATATCCATCCATCCATCCATCCATCCATCCATCCATCCATCCATCCATCCATCCATCCATCCATCCATCCATCCATCCATCCATCCATCCATCCATCCATCCATCCATCCATCCATCCATCCATCCATCCATCCATCCATCCATCCTAACTTATGCTCTACCTATGTTCTATTTTCTATACAGATCACACTGATCTTTTCCACATTCTTTTTTTTCTATACAGATAAACAAAACCGACCCATTTTAAGAAGCAGTTTTAAACAACCCTTACTTAAGCTGTTTAAAAGTAGAATTCTGGCATGAAAGCCAAAAATATTTCTCAGTCAGACTGTATATTAAATCATTTATTAATTTAAATGAAAAGAAAAGGGTAAAATTCTCATTCTCATCTTGTTGTTATATCACTTAACATATCTCTGGGATCTTCAATGAAGAATTGAGCATCAAATAAGTTAAATCCTAAAGCTGAGATATCAGTTTTGTCTGTAGCAAGCTCAAACATACCATTTTTTTTTTCAGTTAAAGTTTAAAAATGTATCAGCTACACCAGTTGGACTGGCATGGGATGGCAGTAACAATATATCCTGTCATGCTAAGTTTCAAACAGATAAGCAGCAAGCAGAAGAAACTGGACTTTAGTGACCTTTGAATATCATAAGAGAATGAACCAAAAAGAGGAAATATCTATGAACTCCAGATGTGTGAATAAATTACAGCTTACTAATGTCTGAAAATTGAGGAGATGGACAGACCTGTTCAGGATTATGGAAGGGTAGAAGTAGCTCAATCAGCCACTCATTGCAACCAATTCATTAGGAAAACTATTTTGACTGCAAACCTGGAAGCAGATGAGCTGCAGAGGGAAAATAACGCCCCTTCTGTCAGCTGAGCTAAAGTAGTTGAGGCTTCAGTTTGCAGATTAGATGCCTCCTAACTCTAGAAATACTTAATGGGAAAGAAAAAAAAATTATCACAGCCTGATCAAAGTTGTCAGTATCATATTTTTTTTAGAAATTATTTTGCCTTTTCTACTATATTTTATGAGACCTGAATAAAAAACTAATTCATTTTTATGTACTGCTAATTATAGTTTATGATACCATTTGCAGCTGTTTTATGGGTGATTTCCCCCACAGATGGGGTTTTTACACCTCTAATTCAAGTCTCAGGGGTGTTTTCTGAACTCTCCAACATTTTCACCCAAAGCTGCTGTTAATTTCCTGTCCTGGGGTTGGCACTGTGCAGTTAATACCGTGGCCACAGGTTTGCCCAGAGGGGACTGACTCACAACCACTTTCTTTTTTGGTTAGCAAGAGAGCTGTGCCCCACCAGCTTGTGGTAACATTCCAATGCCCCTACCTCTCTGTCCCACACACATATGTAATGTACATGTTTTCACCGCAAAGTGGCTGGCTCTGTCATAAAAATACACTACACACTCACACTGTCCTCCACCCTGACGCACACTGACTGCTAAACGGCATTGTGCACATAGATGGACAAACAGAGCAACACCGTAATGTTTAAAACAGGACAAAAGGTAGTTTCCAGAGAAAGGGTGTTTCCCCAAGCGTTACAGAACATTTCTAAGCCCGTTGACCTCTGCTGTTTAGGGGGAAACGCATGATGATGCGCTTGTACAGGTCCCTACTCCCTTGTGGTTCTGGAGTCAAAAAAACATCCTGGTCAAAAAAGTAATTTAGTGGAATATGGCTTTAGGTAATGGGTTAATTTGGGAAATTCATCAACGCGGACATTAGAAATGATATTAATCAGTCATTTGAATAAATTCTTCTGCATTTGCAAAAATAGTTTCATTTGTCTGTTTGTAACAATAAAACCTATTGACCCACTGGCCGGAACTTCATTAAATGCAGCCATTAAAGCAATGAAAATCCCTAAAGAGTCTAGCCCCAAAAGTCCTGACAGTCCTCCAGGAGGAACCACCCTGGGATAGCCTCACTAGCTGCCAGTGGAAAATTGGACTGACTGAGAAACCTCAGTAAATCTGGAAACATCCAGGAGAGAAGAATGGGGGCCAGATGTCTAATGGAGTTTAGTGGCAAGTGTCTGCTCTGGTAGCCAAGAAAGGAGGCAAGCAGATCAGCAATACTTTCCTCAAAATGGGTATGGGAGGCTATAAACAACCAGATCTCCTGTTATATTCCTCCATGTCAGTAGCAAAGAAACACAGTTGGTATATATATATATATATATATATATATATATATATATATATATATATATATATATATATATATATACACAGTATATATATGAATGTAGCGGCTGATGGCTAAAATGGCAATCTGTGTTTAGAGATGGAGGGAAGCATTCAATATGACACAGCACAAGAGATTTATAACCAACAATACTATGTAGGCAGCATAAACTAGACGATGTTAACACAGCCGCTGACCTCAACAGGCCTTGGTTTGTCCGCTGATCACAGACCAGGCATACGCTGTGCTGCTGACAGGAGAGGAAAAGGGAAAAGATATACTGCTTGGACTTGGACAATTGGTCGGCTGGGGGAAGCAAACAAAACATAGTGTTTTTGTGTTTGTATGGGAGTAAAAGGAAACCTTACACACTGATCTTTTCCACATTCTTTTACGTAACAACAATTACCTTCCATGTATTACACTGGCATGTTTTGTGCTAGACCACAGCAAAATATCATATCATCATAAAAATGTAATGGAGATGCTTCAGACTTAGATTTAGAAATTTTGTTTTGTACAGCTCTCATGAAATTTCCATTTCTTAAAGTGTAGCAGTCATGAAATGTAAACAGTGTGGGAGAAAAAATGGTGTAAACAAAACACATTGATATGGAAGTTCAGAGCATTCAATATTTATGGTGCAATTATGAACTGTCTTGGTTTGGTATTGTCAGTTTGATGCAGTCTGTGACGTGATTTAGTTTTTTTCAACAGTTCAGCTGCCTGATGGCGGTGGGGAAGAAGTTGTTTCCGAATCTGCTAGACCTACATCAGATGATTCAAAGCCTCTTCCCAGAGGGCAGCAGGGAGAACAGTCCATTGTGGGGATGTGAGGGGTCATCGACAGTGTTATGGGCTTGAGACACACAGTGCAGGAATGAAATGTCTTTTATGGAGGGATGAGGAGCCCCGATGATACTCTCTGCTGTTCTCACCACTTTTCTCACCTTCTTCATCGTTTTTTTCCAAACAAAAATCGCAAACTTGTGGTAACATTAATATTTAGTTTAATCCATCTTCCTATCCCTGAAAAAAGGCATGGCAACAACATAAAGCTGCCATCATCATATTTCAAACAGAGCATAATGCTTTCAGAGTAATGTGCAATGGTAGTTTTCTGGCTGCAGTTGCTATGTCCTCTACATCAGCGGTCCCCAACCACCGGTCCATCGGTCATTTGGGACCGGGCCGCACAGAAAAAAAAAAAAATATATATATATTTATATATAATTTATCGACGATCAGAGTCTGAGTGATGTTTTATTTTGAAAAATATTCTAAAAAATGGGGTATTCTCCCAATTACCTGAATTAACCTGTGCCTCTTGACACAGGTTTTTATGCTGTTTGTATTTGATTTTATGCCAGTCGTATCATTTTATTTGATCCTATTTACCCCCCACACTTTAAATGCCGGTCTGTGAAAACATTGTTTGACATATAACCGGTCCGTGAAGCAAAAAAGGTTGGGGACCGCTGCTCTACATATCTGAGACTTCGCATAATTTCATATCAAACCGAAAAGTCTGTTTATATTGGAAAATACATAGGCATCCCCCACAAAATTATAAAATTATTCTAAAAGTTTTTATACATTTAAAGTAAAACAATAGTCAGAAATTGTTTATAGCTTCTCTTTATTTTAATCTGTAATCTATTCCAAAGATTCTGAGATTTAAATGGAATCTTTAGCTGAACAAATCAGAAGAAACCTGCTGATTAATAGTGTTCTTTGAAAATAAATCACTTTAAATCTAAACCAGGAATGGAAATATGTCTGAGCATAATTGCACCATAAATTGCCAATCAAATACATTCAACTTTGTTGTTTTAATGGGACAAACATAAGTTTGTCCCATTAAAACATACTGCTTTAGTGAGGCACAGTAAAGTTACTACATATTATTATAGAAATGAACATTCTTTATGGCCACACATTTGCATTGATCAAACAATTTCACTTTGATAACCACTTGCACTAACAGAACATTATTAAGCTACTAATTTGGCTTTGCTAGAACAGATCCAATGCAATCAGACCCAAGTACCATTT